AGCTGGGAGTGTGAGCTGTCCACGCTCCAGCCTGTGACCCCAGCATCCCCCCCCCATCCTGGTCCTGCAGGAGGGCTCTGCCAGGAGGGGATGGGGCTGCGGGTGCTGGAGACACAGTAGGGCGAGTAGACCCTGATGGGCTGTCACAGCCCCAGGACCCAGAGCGCAGCTGCTCCGGGCACACTGTGTCCTGACGCGGCACCCCACCTCAGAGGGCAGCGTCTGCCCAGTGAAGGGCTCTCACTGGATTTGTGGGATTTTGTACATTTAGATACTCTGTTCTCTTCACTGCAGCTCAGCTTGAAGGAAGGGCGTGTATTGTTTGGAGGAAAGTGACAGAAGATTGAAGCAATAAAATAAATTCCAATTCTAAGTGTAGTGTTTAGATATTATAATCCACTTCTCCCTTCTTAATAAGTCATTCCTGATAGCTTCGTATCAGGAATTTTCAAGATTTTTTCAAGCGTAAACCATTTATCTTTCCTTTAAAAATAAACTTTAGACTTAAAAATAAGAGTTAATGGTCAAGTAGGGCTTTAAAGGAGATTTTTCTAAATGTAAATCCCTAGAAGTGATGGAAGGCCTGGCGGTGGTTGCTGGGGTGGCTTTGTCTTCAGTTCTGCGAGGACCAGAGCTGTCACAGTACCTAGTGCTGCTGAGCCAGCGCAGCCTCGTGGGTGGAGCAGTGTGACTCTGGCCTGGGGTCCATCAAGGAAAGACCACACCTGCACAGCCCACCAGGCTGCTCCATTGCCCTTGGGGCTGGAGGACAAGGCTCCTTATCAGGACGGCAGGAGATAGGCGAGCAGGGCCAGAGAGTGGGGACTCCCACTGAAATGAATTGTGAGGCAGCCAGCGAGGACTGGCCAAACTCTGCACACACGCTCTGAGGTACAGACAGTAGGAGGGAAAGGCCTCCTGGCATTTAGACCATAATTTTTATGCTTAACTGTGTAATCTGAATCTCACTGGCTGTTAGCACTTACCTAAAACATCTGTGTAAAACGAAAGTTTTAAAAAGCATTGAAAGCCTTTGGATTTGGGTTTTGTTAGCTCAGATGAAGAAAAGGAACCTCTGATTCTTTAGCATTTACTGAGTGCTGGGCCTGTTCAGCAGCGAGGAGCACACCCCGGGCAGGATCAGGCAGGAATAGCCACGTGCCACGTGGAGCAGAAGAGAGTCCCACAGGCACAGGCCTGGAGCAGGCGACTAGCAGGGGCATTCGCTATCTGACCCTGTGTGCATACAGATCCTGGAAGGATTAGAGATTTAAATGTAAAAAACAAAACCATTCTCACTGTGCTGTAACCATGCAAGCAGTTAGCTAATGAGGCTGCCTTTCTCATTCTGCCCACCGGAGCAGTTGGCTCTCCTGTGCTTTTGGCCACATGCGTGCTCTTGACCTGTGCCCTAAGAGTCACAAATGCAGGTTTATTTCTCAGATGCTGGGTGAGTGTAGATGAGCAGGGTGGTGACTAGGTGTCCCTAGCCCCTGTTCTACTAGGCAACCTGCTTAGCCAGTGCCCTGCTGAAGGAAGCCCCTTCCCAGCCCCTTCTCAGCCCCAGCCCTGCAAGCCTGGTGCCTCTGCCTGCAACACCCTAACCCACCACCCTGTTTTAACCTGAACCATCCAATTAACCATTAGATTCAGCTCAGACTTCAATTCCTCCAGGAAAGCTCTTTCTGCTTCTTCAGGCTGGGTCAGATGAGCCCTGTCCCACGGCCAGGATAGCACATAGACAGGCCGTCTCAGGCCATTTCCCCTCATGCCAAGTTTTAGTTCAGTTTTGAATTCCTTAAGGATCTGATTCCTTCCTGTTATCTCTGTGTACCCCGTGCTGTGGCAAGCACAGGGGATCTCAGGAGACCAGCATCTGGGCTGCGTGTGAGATGGTGTCTCCTCCATGACTGCAGGCACCGTGAGGCGCACAGCCTACACCGCTTTGCTGAAACTGCAGGGGGTAGAAGTGTTTGGATGCTGAAGAGAACTTTCAGAGCACTGAGGTGTTACTGGGTGCTAGTTATTTAAACCTCAAAAGCACGTGACGTGACTGTACTCAAGAGTTTAATGCCATGTACATATGTGAAAATTGTAGAAAAGGGGGCAGAAAACCCAAAAGCTGCCCAGTAAGCTGCTGCATCACATCATTCTTCCGTGAAATGGAGGAAGAAACATGAAAAGGTCTGTGAAATCTACATCCCTTTCCCTGGACCATGATGCTCCAGGCAGTGGAGAGCAAAGGTGGTCTGAGCCGCTGCCCGCCCCAACCCCCTGCATGCCCACTCTCTACTGCCCCTCAATTACTGCTTTTCTAAAATATGTTGTGAACCATCCCTCCCATGCGCAGGAAAAGACACCCTCTGTCCACCTTCCTGGAGCGCTGGCCTCCATCCGCAGTGTGCCTTCCACCTGTGGGAGCGACCCTGGACCCACCCCCTCTGGGTCCTACACTGGTCCTCCTGATGCCTCCCTCGCCCTGACCCGCGTTGCACTAGCAGAGGGTCCCTTCAGTCGCATGAAAGAACACACCTGTGTGCAAGGCTTAGCCACAATCTCTTTTCCTTCATTCCGCTCCTAAATGGATGATCTTTAGAAAGATTTTCCTGGGAATCTTCCTGGATGATCCATTTGCCATTGACTCCTTCTTTACTGAAATTTTTTGTGAGTTTTTTCTTCAGATGTGCACATTGTCATACCTGCACAGAGAGAGTTCCCATTAAAAGATACTCAGTAAATGAGCTCATTTTTTTTTATTAAGTCAAATACACATAGATCATGGATACATTCATGCATATGTGGGATACAATGTGCTGATTTTTTTTATACAATCTAACGTGGTGACATTAAACCAGTCAACTTAGCTTTTACCTCCTTTACTTGATTATTGTGCTGAAACATCTATGTTCTACATTTCACAGATTTGACTTGTACCCTTGTCATATGTTCCATAGGTGTGGTCCCACCTTTTACCCTCCCTCTGTCAAACCTCCCCCATCCCCTTCCCTCCCACTCCACTTCTCTCCTTCATCCTGGGCTATAGTTGTGTTCTATTTTTTACAAGAAAGTGTGAGTAAATATAAGTAGGTTTCATAGAAGGACTGAGTACACTGGATACTTTTTCCTCCATTCTTTATTGCATATGTGTTCTTGTCCCTCTGGCCACACTCAGCACACAGTACTGACCAGTACTAACTTGGTGCCTATGGGATTGAAGCAGGAGCTGGCACCGTGGGCGTGATGGCCTGGTGTTATCTGGAACTGGGCCTTGCCCACTCTGTGATCTGTCTCTGGAGCTGGGCCCTGCCCACCTGGTCTATCTCTGGAGCCAGGCCCTGCCCACCTGCGGTCTGTCTCTGGAGCCAGGCCCTGCCCACCTGCGGTCTGTCTCTGGAGCTGGGGCCTGCCCGCCCTGCCCACCCTGCGGTCTGTCTCTGGAGCTGGGCCCTGACCACCTG